TATCTATCTATCTATCTATCTATCTATCTATCTATCTATCTATCTATCTATCTATCTATCTATCTATCTATCTATCTATCTATCATCTACCTACTCTATATCTATCTATCTATCTATCTATCTATCTATCTATCTATCTATCTATCTATCTATCTATCTATCTATCTATCTATCTATCTGTATCTGTATATCTATATCTCTTATCTATCTGTCATCTATCATCTCTCTCGTTTTCTCTATCTCTATCTACCATCATTTATTTATTGAATTTATTTCAAATGACTGGATGGCTGACAGCCCAATAAAATTAGAAACTTTAAAAATCATTAAATATCAAATGACGGACCACTGACTCAATGACATATTTTTTTGAAAGGATCCACCCACTGGATGACACAGCCCTGAATTAGCCCCTCTCCAGGGAAGCTTCTGATTTACCAAATTCCTCCTCAAAAACAAACACCTCCCCACCCCACCCCGATAAGCAAAGAGACCAGATGTGCTGGAAAAACACACACCCACACCCACACACACACTGAGAGATAAGAAATCTTGACCAAAACTTCGGTTATCGGTTATCGGGCCCACCTTCCCCTTTTCCCCCATTTGATGTTGAGCCAGGGGGGTTAGGTTTAAAATCCTTCCACCATAAACTTTATGGAGACTTTTTACCACAGTCCATAAATTTCCACTGGAGACTGGAAAGGGGTTTACTTAAGGGGAGGGGGGCAGTTTCTGCCAATTCCCTTCTTGGGGAGGGGGCAACGAGACGTCAAACGCCAATGTCCCCCCCTGTGAGAAAAGTTTTCTGAAATGCAGAATTGGCTTTAAGCCAGCTCCAAGGAGGAGGAACTTATTCTCAGATCCAATGAGAATTGGTTCTCATGGGGGGGGGGGAAGACGGGACCAATTTGGGGCCCAATGGTGGTTATAAGCCGAGGACTGTCTGTATTGGGGGGGGTCTCTGTCCCCTTTCACTGCATCTTCCAGGATATCAAGAAAAAAAAATCACAATTACAGCTCCTCGCAATTGGGACAGCCCCCCCCAATACAGGGAATCCTCAAGTTACGACCACAGTCGACCCCAAAATTTACGTTGCTATGCATGAGATGCTGCGACCGTCGTAAATGTGAGTCAGCTGCCGAGCGTTTGAATTTTGATCACCTGACGGCGGAATTGCTGCGACGGTCGTAAGTGTGAAAAATGGCCGTAAGTGTGAAAAATGGTCCTAAGTCCTTTTTTCAGTGCCGTCGTAACTTTGAATGGTCACTAAATGAACTGTTGGAAATTGAGGATTTGACCTGTATTATAGTTTTCAAATCCGGCGAGGAACACTCTTGTTCTCCCATATTTATAGGCACAACAAGTGAGTGTGGAATTAATGGAATTAAACCGACTAAAGTTTCCTGAATTATTCCAGCAAGGTAATCTGCTTCGTGAGAAGGTAGAGAAAAAAAAAACTGAATTTCTGCTGCAGAAATTCAAAGAAGACCCAAAGAAGCTTCTGCAAAAATTCACCTACAGATCCTCCTCGACTTACAACGAGGCTGGAAAAAAATGACTTATAACTGGTCCTCAGACTTAACAACCTTTGCAGCATCCTCAGGGTTCAAGGCCTTGAAAGGAAGAGGAGGGGAAAACAAGCATGAAAATAACCAGAATGCAAAGATGTTTTCTTGGGATCAGCACATTGTAAATGTATGTGTGTGTGTGTGTGTGTGTGTGTGTGTGTGTTGTGTGTATTTTAAAATCCAAAATAATTTAAAATTTAGAAACACGACATACACCGTTTAAAATTAAAATAATAAAACAGATGAAGTATATAATGTTATATATATATATATATGATTTGTTCAGAAATAAATATATATTAAAATTTTATATATTTTATAAATAAATAAATAAAGAGAGAGAGAGAGAGAGAGAGACACTCTGTCTTATGAAACAGGCCATATTATGAAACAGGCATTATCTAAACAATATGACCTAGAAGATGCTGTACTTTTAGCATCTTTAGGATGTGCTGCACTGGACGGTTCCCGTTCCGGATCGTTAAAAGGGGACGGAGCGCTGGAAGGGGGTCTTTCGAGGTCCTCTAGTCCGACCTCCGCTCCTTCTTCGCTCCGTCCCAGGCGCTAGTGCCGAGGGAACGGGGTGGAGGGCGAGGATGATGGGTTTCCTGGCTTCAAAAGGAGTGGAAGGAGGGGGGGGGAGACAGCATGCTATGCTGGGAAGTGGGTGGGGGGGGAGATGCCCCGAGCAGACCCCCGGCTGGCTGTACGAGCTCCTCTCCTGCCGTCCCCATGGAAACCTCCAGCCCGCCCCAGGCCCCCCAACCGGTTTCTGGGTCACGGAAGCGTGTCGCCCCCGGCCGGGAGGAGGCCAGGGGGAGGCTGCGCTGGAAGAGAAGGGAGTGGCTGGATGAGGGGAGCCCCCCAGGCCTTCCCCTCGGCCCCTTTAGAAGTGGGGTGCAGCTGCAAATTGTCCCCTTTCTTCCTTCCTCCCTCCCTTTTCCATCCATCCTTCTTTCCCTCCCTCCCTCCTTCCTTCCTTCCTCTCCCTTCCTTCCTTCCTTCCTTCCTTCCTTCCTTCCTTCCTTCTCTCCCTCCCTTGCTCCCTTCCTTCCTTACCCTCTTTCCCTTTTTCTTCCTTCCTTCCTTCCTTCCTTCCTTCCTTTCTTCCTCCCTCCCTCCCTTGCTCCCTTCCTTCCTTACCCTCTTTCCCTTTTTCTTCCTTCCTTCCTTCCTTCCTTCCTTCCTTCCTTCCTTCCTTCCTTCCTTCCTTCCTCTCCCTTCCTTCCTTCTCTCCCTCCCTTGCTCCCTGCCTTTCTTACCCTCTTTCCCTTTTCCATCCATCCATCCATCCATCCTTCCCTCCCTCCTTTTTTTCTTCCTTCCCTTTCACGTTCCTTCTCTTTTCCTTCTAGTTTGCTTCTGAGCCCCGTGTGTGTGTGGGGGGGGAGGAGGGGAGATGGGGGGGGGACTGCCGAGGAATCCTGGGCTTGTGCAGAGGGTCAGCCAAGCTGCCTTCAGACTGGACAAATGTTTTTTTTTGGGGGGGGGGTAACTCAATCTGCCCCTCCAGCCAGGCTCGCTCAGTCCTGGAGATGTGATGCTTCTCCAAATCCACAAAGCCCCCTTTTCATAAAGCGAGGGGTGGGAGTGTGTGTGTGTGTGTGTGTGTGTGTGTGTGTGTGTGTAGGGTGGGGGTCTTCTTTGCTTGCTTTCTTGCAATGTCTGATTGCCAATCCTTGAGCGTCTAGCGCCCTCTGCTGGCTGCATCCAGGTCACCTAAATGCTGGATGGAAGACACAGGTAATCCTCTACTTACAACCGTTTGTTTAGTGACTGTTTGAAGTTACAAGGGCACTGGAAAAAAATGGACTTATGGCCGTTTTTCACACTTACGACCGTCGCAGCATTCCCCTGTGGTCACGGGATCAAAATTCAGACCCTTGGCAACTGACTCGTATTTGTGACGGTCGCTGCACCCCGGGGTCACGGGATCCCCTTTGGCGACCATCTGACCAGCCAAGTCAACGGGGGAAGCCGGCTTCGCTTAACAACCTCGTCCCTAACTTAAAACCGCAGTGATTCACTTAACATCCGCCGCAAGAAAAGCCAGGTAACCCAGATGCAGCCAGCAGAGGGCGCTAGGTGCTCAAGGATAACTTCAAACGGACACTAAACCGACCGTTGTAAGCCGAGGACTCCCTGTAAAGACCCCAAAAACCTGACACCCTCTGGATCATAAACTCCCCCCCTCTCCCCAAGGGGACTCACCGTCCTGAAACCCCCGTTCGAATCACCCCACGAAACCTGGAAAACCTTTCGTCAATGATCATTTATTAGATTCGTTTGCAAATGCGGCAGAGATCTCACGCTCGGCGGCTTCCCTTGGAAACAAAAAAATAGAGGGTGGGGGAGAAAAGCAGGGAGGGGGCCAAGCAGAAGGAAGGAGACGGGGGGGGAGGAGGCTTGCAACTCGTCAGTCCCCTGCATTATCCCTTCGGGGCGCACGAGAGACGGACGCCCCCGGAGGTAACGCGTTCAGACATTCGCTTCGGGGAACAGCAGGAACCCGGAGAAGATGCTATCCGACCCTTCTGTGCCCCCCAGCAGTGAGTTCTTCTCCGTCGGCTCCAGCCACACCATCTCGCCCTGGGCCACCCGGAGGACCACCCCGCCGGTGGTCACCTGAAAGGTGTTCAGGACGTAGTCGCAGAAGGTCACCACGCTCTCGCTGCTGGCGCTGCCTCGCCCCTTCTTCAGCTTCAGACACAGGTTGCCCCGGGAGGTGGCGTGGTAGGAGAAGTAGTAGATGCCCGGGATCTGGCAGATGAACTGACCGTAGCGATTGTTGTAGTGGTTCCCCACGTTGGTGATGACCCGGTCAAAGCGGACCGGTCGAGCTCGGCTCGGGGTAAAAGTGGTACCCCGCGTGGCCGAGAAAGCGGATTGGTGGGAGGTTTTGGCATCCCCGGATTCGCCCTTGGGGCCCCGGTCTCCGGCAGGCCCAGGGGGACCTTTGGCCCCGGTGGGTCCCCGGGGTCCAAATTTCCCTGGGAAACCTGGAATTCCCGGTTCGCCTGGTTCGCCAGCGTCCCGGAAGTCTTCGACTCTTCCAGGTGGGCCTAGAAAAGAGACAGGAAAAAAAAAAGACACAGGGGTGGATGGGGAAGCTTCACTGTGGGTCCTAGTGAGCACTGAGCTCCCAGCCTACCTTGCAGGGTTGTTGCTGTGGGTGCAGACTAAGGGAGTGGGTGGGGAAGAAGAACCGGAAGGGAGAATTCTTCTTCTCCTTTCTCCTTCTTTCCCATCTCCTCCTCCTCTTCCTCTATCTACTTCTCCATCTTCTTGTCCTTCTCCTTCTCCTTTTCCACCTCCATCTTTCCCTTCTCCCTCTCCTCCTCGTTTGGGACCGCCGCCAGCAATCTGCCGCCAATTACAGTGACGACACGGACCCGAATGCTAATTATGCTCGTCCTCGACATTCAATAAAACTTTATGATCAGCGGTTTGGGCGAACGGACGACAAAAGGTTTGCGGAGCTCCTGAGGTGGAGACTTTGTTCATCCCTGTTGCAGTAGACCTCCTCCAAGGCTGGACTAGATGACCCAAGCTCCCTCCCAACCTCTTCCTTCACCTGGCTTAGATGGCAAGGTCTCTGCCCACCTTAACAGGCTCCTTTAATGGACGGCCTTCGTTTGCTTACCTCTCTCTCCTTTGCTCCCATCAACTCCATCCCGGCCGTCGGAGCCCGGAGCTCCTGGCATACCGGGGGTCCCTGGGATAAGTGGGGGTCCTTCACAGCTGCTGGCCTGTGCCAACCACGCTGCAGGCAGGCAGAGCATCAGCACCCCGACCGCCACCTTGGCGCTGAGCATCCTGGACGGGCAGAGAAAGCAACAGAGCGATTAGGTGGAAGGACTTCAACTCCCAGAATGCTCAGCAATGCCCATCCTGGCCAGGGAATGCTGGGTGTCGAAGGCCACCAGCCTGGGTTTCAGTTTTCAGATGGGTGGGACTTCAGCTCCCAGAATTCCCCCGGCCAGCCATGCCAGGAGTTGAATTCTGGGAGTTTGAAGTCCATCCGTCTTAAAAGTCCCCGAGATTGAGAAACGCTGGTTTACTTCGTACCATAGTTTGCCAGTTAGGGCTGTGGGAACTCAGCCTTTGCCTTGTGTTAACCTGGGTTTAGCAAGGTCATCAGAAGCATCCTCTCCTGCTTTCCTGGAGCTTTCATTAAAATATGTTGTGGGTCCTCACAAAGGGAGGCTTTTAAAGAAGAGACTGGACAGCCCTTTGTCCGAAAAGATACAGGGTTTCCTGCTTGAGCAGGGGGGTTGGACTAGATGACCTCCGGGGTCCTTTCCAGCCCTGTTATTCAGCCCTGGTGGACACCAACAGAAACTCTCCATCATCCAGGACACGGTTGTCCCAAAGGTGTTTTTCCCCAAACTTTCTTAGTTTTTTTTATTTTTTAAAAAAATGTTTTGCTCCTTTAGCAGAGATGGCTAAACCGACTGCTTTGATCAAAGAAGGAGGGAAAAAAACACAATTATTTTTGTTTCGACTTGGAAACCGCTTCTGGACTTTGTGCTTGAGGTGGGGGGGAAAAAAGGAAACTTCGATTTTGGGTTTCACCGATTAGATAGGCTAGTTTATTCTATTATGCGATGGTAAAAAAAATATTGAGATTTGACGTTATTATCTTATTCTACCAAGGGAGCCGGAAGCCAAAGCCTTTTCGTTCTTTTCCCCCTTTTTCCTACACTTCCCCCCCCCTTTATTTTCCTGCTGTTTTCTTTGGTCTTTCTGCATTTTATATTATAAAGGAATAAAAAAAAAGATTTTTTTTAAAAAGAAAAAAAATGTTTCGCTTCTCGCCCAAGAACTGAAGAAGCTTCTCGGATGACAAACGAAATGTTTTCCAAGGGAAACCACAACAACAACAACAACAGCAACGACAACAAGAAGAAGAAAGTCTAGTTGTCTATGGAGAGTCTCCGTCATCCAGCTGGACTTTCCTGTTTTTCTTTTGAAGTCGTTTCGCTTCTGATCCCAGAAGCTTCTTCAGCTCTGACTGGACGGTGGGGGAGTGGAAGGATTGTTACGTTGCGCCCTGCGTTTGTGAAGGGGTTGTTTTGTTTCCCCCAAGGGACAGCTCTGCACAGGGCTCCCTGCACTGTGCTGTCTGCGAGGAGTATAAATCCTTCCCTTCCCCACCATCCGAAGAAGCCGAAGAAGCTTCTCGGATGAGTAGCGAAACCTCTTCAAAGAAAAAACAAGAAAGTCCAGTTGCGTCTTGAAAAAAGGCACCTGTTGGGACAACCTGTTGGGTCCTTTTGTAGACCCCCCCCAAGAATCTGCGATTCACCACCGACATAAACACACACACAAAACACACACATCTTGCAAAGGTGCTGAGCTCCACAGCCAAAATCTCCCCCTCCCTACCAAAAAGTCATTTTCTTACCTGGCCCTTTTTTCTGTGCCCTCAAGCTAGCAAGTCTTAGCCCGTTGTCGGTCCGTCCTGTCCGGTGCTGTTGGAAAAGTCAAAAGAGATTTGTCGGATGGGACAGGCGTGTGTGTGTGTGTGTGTGCACACACACCTCTGGGCTTCAGGCTGCTGACCTCCGCCCCCCCCCCTGCTACTTCCTCCACGTTGTGTTTGCCACAACGAGGAAACTGGCCCAAGCTTCTGCTTTCTGCTGGGTGACACCCCCCCCCTGTCCCTGTACCCTCATCCGCCTTGCCAGCAGTTTCACATCCATCCTTCTCACGGGTGGGGTGGGGGGGGGGCAAGCAGGATGCGTCTCGGGGTCTTTTCTGCGAACTCTGCAAAATAAAAAAAAAAGAGAACGGAAGAGGATTGCTGGGTGCCTGGTGGTTTTTGTGGTTTTGGGTCTTGTTCTCTCTTTTCTCTGGCTCCCCGGGTGGGGGGACGGGACGGGGGGGGGGGAAAGCATTTTGCAATCCGAACCCTGTCTTTGCCATCTCTCAGGAGTTTAATTTTGCTTGGTGTGCAAAGCCCAAAGGTTCCCAGCCAGTCAAAGGGAGGCTGAGGGCGACAACTGCAAAACAGTGGGAGGAAAAGAAAGAAAGAAAAGAAAGAAAGAAAGAAAGAAAGGAAGGAAGGAAGGAAGGAAGGAAGGAAGGAAGGAAGGAAGGAAGGAAGGAAGGAAAGGAAGGAAGGAAGGAAGGAAGGAAGATATGATAAATTGATAGATATAGATGATGGATAGATAGATATAGATGGTGGGTGGATGGGTAGATAGATATAAAGACAAATAGATATAGAGAAATGATGATGATGATAGATAGATAGATAGATAGATAGATAGATAGATAGATAGATAGATAGATAGATAGATAGATAGATAGATGGAGAGATGATAGATGGATGGATGGATGGATGGATAGATGGATGGATGGATGGATAGATAGATAGATAGATAGATAGAGACAGATTAGATAGAGACAGACAGACAGACAGATAGATGATAGATTAGATAAATAATAGAGATAGATAGATAGATAGATAGATAGATAGATAGATAGATAGATAGATAGATAGATAGATAGATAGATAGATAGATAGATAGAGACAGATAGAGACAGACAGACAGACAGATAGATAGATAGGGATGATCTTGATATATATATATATATGTATGTGTCTGTGTGTGTATATAATTTTGTGGATTTTATATGTTTTAGCCTTTAAAAGTTTTGTATTCCAGTCTTCTTATGCTGGTCTCTGATTATAATAAATATTTGATTGCTTGATTGGCTGATTTGAGCTTCTATGTTATTCAGCTCTGAACCAAAATTAATCAACTTCAGAAACCAGCTCAAGAGTTCCTGAATTTAATGGGATGAGAAATTGCCATTCCGTCAGAGTTCTTCGTTGATCGGGGTGCAAAATCAGGTGCCTCTTAAGAGGGGCTGAACCCAAGAGAGAGAACTTAGGGTTCAATTTTTGAATGGTTTATCCTTAAACCATCCAGGTCACCCAAGCGAGTCATTTATTTCATTTATTCATACACTGTGTATACTGTATATTTGCATAATGTAACGCCCTAAATCGCTGTTTCTCAACCTTGGCAAGTTTAAGCAGGGTGGACTTCAACTCCCAGAATCCCCCAGCCATTCTTTGGGCAACCTTTTAAAGATGGGTGGACTTCAACTCCCAGAATGCCCCAGCCATTCTTTTGGCAACATTTTAAAGAGGGTGGACTTCAACTCCCAGAATCCCCCAGCCATTCTTTTAGCAACCTTTTAAAGATGGGTGGACTCCAATTCCCAGAATCCCCCAGCCATTCTCTGGGCAACCTTTTAAAGATGGCTGGACTTCAACTCCCAGAATCCCCCCCAGCCAGCATAGCTTGGCAATTCTGGGAGTTGAAGCCCACCCATCTTAAACTGGGCAACGTCGAGACGCGTCCCGCGGGAAGCGATTGTGGACGAGCAAATCAAAGACCGCTTGACTGTTTTTTTGTTTTGTTTTGTCATCAATCACAGTTACAAACTCTTTATTTTATTTTATTTTATTTGCAATAAAGCGGAAGCAACCTGGAACGACAGCAAAGCGAGGGGAGATCCAGAAGGAGCCCCCTTGCAGGCTCACAAGCCAAGGTGGCTATCCCGTGGAAGTTATTCGGGAAAAAGCAGAAAGCCGGAGAAGACGCTGTCGGCCCCCGCCATGCCAACCATGCCGTTGTAGTCGTTGACCGCCAGCCAGACCTGGCCGCCGGCTTGCAGTTGGAGCAGGACCCCTCCGGAGCTGACCTGCTTGGGGTTGGAGAGGTGGTCGCAAAAGCTGGCCATCTTTTCCCGGTTCCGATACAGGTTGACGCAGAGGTTGGACGTCAAGGAGGTGTGGAAGACGAAGTAGTAGACGCCCGGGATGCGGCAGGTGAACTTGCCCGTGGTGGTGTCGTAATCGTGGTAGGTGTTGGTGATGTTGCCGTGGAAGACCACCGGGGCGTTCTTCACCGGATGCGCGTGGGTCTGGCGCCTGACCGAGAAGGCCGACTGGTACATGAGCTTGTGGCCGCCAGGATCTCCGGTCTTACCTCGTTCGCCTTTGGGGCCGACGTCTCCCAGGACGCCGGGAGCTCCCCGAGGTCCACTTTTCCCGGCCAGACCAGGACTACCGGGAGAGCCTGTTTCTCCTCTGGGTCCGTGGCTTCCAGGAAGGGCTGGAGGGCCTAGTGATCGGAGACAAGGTGAGTGGGAAGCAAGGAGAACATCGCCCAGCTAATCTGCAACTTACTACCGTAACAGAGTTGGAAGGTCAAGCAGACCTTATACCCTTCCAGACAAACGGCTGCCCAGTCTCTTCTTGAAAGACTCCACTCACCATTTCTGGTGGCAAGGAGTTCCACTGTTTAATGATTCTCACTGTCAGGAAATTTCTCCTTAGTTCCAGCTTGCTTCTCTCCTTGATTAGTTCCCATCTGTTGTTCGTCGTCTTGCCTTCAGGCGCCTTGGAGGATAGGTGGGACCCCCCTCCCCTTTTCTCTGGGGCAGCCCCTTAGAGATTGGGTTTGGGGTTTATTTATCTGAAATTCACTTCTGTCCCTTGTTTTTCCACCTAGTTCCCCCTTATTTTTCCTTTAAGCATACACATTCATAATAAACAGCCATGTGAGGATCCAGCCAGACTTGGCAGGTTCACCCAGATTATTATTATTATTATTATTATTATTATTATTATTATTATTATTATTATTATTATTATTATTATTATTATTATTATTATTATTATTATTATTATTATTATTATTATTATTATTATTATTATTATTAGAATTTATATACCGCCCTATCTCCCTTACGGGACTCAGGGCGGTGAACAGGCGATAATAAAAACCACGATAAATATACATGGTTAAATATAGATGGTTAAAACGAGGAGGGGGGCAAACAGGAGCTACTAACCTGGTTCTCCTTTGGATCCCTTATATCCATCTCGGCCATCCCTCCCTGGAGGTCCCGGGACTCCGGGGAGACCCGGTGCCCCGTAGACATAACTTAGAGGATCTGCTGCGCAGGAGAGATCTCCCAGGATCAAAAGGAGGGAGATCCAGACCAGCATCCGCACCCAGGTCCTGTCCATCCTGCAGGGAAGACAGAATCAAGCCATGTTTTGTTTTGTTTTGGTTTTTTTGCAAAGTTGGCCATTTTAAGATGTGTGGACTTCGACTCGCAGAATTCCCAACCGGCAAGTCCCAGAATTCTTTCGCTAGCATGCCGACCACGGAATTCTGGGAGCTGAAGTCCACACATCTTAAAATTGCTAAGGTTGAGAAACATGAGCAAAGGAAAGCTCTGAACTGGGGTCATAATGACACAGAGTGTTGGTTAAGAACTTAATACTAGTAATAGTAATAATAATAGTAATAATAATAATCATGGAAAAAGAGGGAAATGGAAAGGAAAGGAAAGAGAATGAAAGGAAAGGAAAGAGAATGAAAGGGAAGGGAAGGGAAGGGAAGGGAAGGGAAGAGAATAATAATAGTAATAATAATAACAACAATAATAATAATGGAAAAAGGAAAATGGAAAGGAAAGAGAATGAAAGGAAAGGAAAGAGAATGAATGGAAAGGAAAGAGAATGAAAGGAAAGGAAAGAGAATGAATGGAAAGGAAAGAGAATGAAAGGAAAGGAAAGGAAAGAGAATGAAAGGAAAGTGAAGGGAAGGGAAGAGAATAATAATAGTAATAATAATAACAATAATAATGGAAAAAGGAAAATGGAAAGGAAAGAGAATGAAAGGAAAGGAGAGGAGAAGAGAGGAGATTGGAACAACCTGATTTTTCTCCCTCAAACCTCAATCCTTCTGCCTTACAGGGGATTATAAATGCTTTTCTCAAGAATAAATTAATTTCTCAGCTGATCTGCCAATCGCTGCCTCCCCTCTTCCAAATTCGGCTGGGCTCCTCCAGATTTTTGAGAGCAACCAATGGCCGTGTCTTCCCCGGGGAGAAAGATTTACTTCCTGAACCTTTGAAAAAAGACAAAGACAATTCCGTGGGGAGGGTCTCTTACCTCTCAGGGACTCGGCGGGATCCTAGCAGATCCTGCAAGCAACAGGAATTAAGCAGTGGCCGGCTAGTTGAGGGCAGAAGAATCGTCTTGCAGCAGCATCAGACTTCATGAGGAAGTTGGTGGTCCCAAAAGAAAAAAAATAAAAAAAAATAAGGAACTAGTCCACCTCGTGTGTTGTGCTTCTCTTTTGAATCTAAAACCTCAGCGTCAACACTTTTGCTGTTTTGTAACCCGTTAATTTCAATCTCCCCTTCGCCAGGGATGAATAAGGAGAGATTTAGCTGAAAATCCAAATTCAGCAATGAAAACTACTCACTAAGTGGCCTACCTCCTAGGATTGTTGTGAAAGTATAGGCAGGGTGTCCTTGCTTGAGCAAGGGGTTGGACTAGAAGACCTCCAAGGTCCCTTCCAGCTCTATCCTCATTGATTGATTGATTGAAATGGTCTAGGGTCTCCTGCTTGAGGAGGGGGGTGGACTAGAAGACCTCCAAGGCCCCTTCCAGCTCTATCCTCATTGATTGATTGATTGAAATGGTCTAGGGTCTCCTGCTTGAGCACGGGGTTGGACTAGAAGACCTCCAAGGTCCCTTCCAGCTCTATCCTCATTGATTGATTGATTGAAATGGTCTAGGGCCTCCTGCTTGAGCACGGGGTTGGACTAGAAGACCTCCAAGGTCCCATCCAGCCCTAGGATTCTATGTTCAAAGATGAAATGGGAGTGTCAGGGAATGTCCTGGCCCCACGAGGAAGAGCAGAATTACATAGAATCACAGGCCTGGAAGGGACCTTAGAGGTCTTCTAGTCCAACCCCCTGGTCCAAGGCAGGAGACCTTATATACCATCCCAGATAAATGGTTGTCCAATCTTTTTTTTTTTTTAAAAAAAATCCTCCAGCGATTAAGCACCCACAATTTCTGGTGGCAAGTCGTTCCACTGGTTAATTGTCCTAACTGTCAGGAAATTTCTCCTAGGTTGCTCCGAAAGGCAAGCATGTTCCATTAATTAGTCAGCCATAAATATAATTAAAGCAATCCGTAACACATCCGTGCTTCCAAGTCAGAACTGATGGTCAGGAAGCCAATAATTTAAATTATTTTAATTATAAGATTATTATGGAGAGATTGTTATAGGCACGATGGGTGAAATTCACAGGTCTTGTTGAGAGGGATGAATTAGCTTTTCTGATTAGAGAGATTGTCTTCATTGAACAGAATAATGGAATAACGGAGCTGGAGGGGACCTTGGAGGTCATCTAGTCCAACCCCCTGCTCAAGCAGGAGACAACTGGCTGTCCAATCTCTTTTTGAAAACCTTCATTGATGGGAGTATTTATTGATGGCTGTGACAGGCATTTTCCGTAAATGTCTCTAATTGATTGATTTCAGGCATGTGTTTTTCCAGGAAAAAAATTCCGAAAAATGGAATGTTCAAAATCCGAAAAATGGAAGGGTTGGAAGGGAGCTTGAAGGTCACCTAGTCCACCCCATCCCTGCCATTATTACAGCATCCCTGATGGAGATAGCTTTTGCCATCAGGACCTTTGATCTGATCTCTCCTCCTTTTATATTCATTTCATAGAATGGGAGACTGGCTGAGCGTCAGGGACCTTGGTGGTCATCCAGTCTAACCCCATGCAGGAATTCGAATTAGGTTATTAAAATCTGGGATGGTAAGATTGGAAGGGACGTGGCGGGGGTGTCATCTAATCCAGTGCTCCCCAAACTTTTTCCTTCTTAGAAAAAAAATTATCGACCTTGTAAGACCCGGCTGTACGCTCCTTCCTTCAGCATCGTCATAACTTTGGACCGACGGTCTGAACTCGGAAGTACAATGTTAATTTCACTGTATTCGTAATTTTATGGATCAGTGGCACGGTGTGCTTTTAAAATAATTCACCCTTCTGGGGTTTTTATATTTTCATACACGTATTATATGTTGTGTCTGAGAATTTCATGCACCAGGCTGCATTTTCTTGATGCCGTACAAAAAAAAAAAAATAAACTTATGTCTAGGTGTATTTAACCATGTTGTATTCTGTTCTGTTCTAAATAACAATTGCAGTTCTCTCCTTTCTTCCTTCCCTCCCTTTTTTCCTTCCTGCCTTCCTTCCCTCCTTTTTCCTTCCTTTCTTCCTTCCCTCCCTTCCTCCCTTTTTCCCTCCCTTCCTCCCTCCCATTTTTCCTTCCTTTGTTCCTTCCCTCCCTCCATTTTTTCCTCTCCCTTCCTCCCATTTTTCCTTCCTTTCTTCCTTTGTTCCTTCCTTCCCTCCCTTCCTCCTTCCCTCCCTCCCTTCCTTTTCTCCTTCCCTCCCTCCTTTTCTTCCTTTCTTTCTCTTTCTTTCTTTCTTTCTTTTTCTTTCTTTCCTTTCTTTCTCTTTCTCTCTTCTTTCTTTCTTTTTCTTTTTCTTTCTTTCTTCTTTCTTTCTCTTTTTCTTTCTTTCTTTCTTTTTTCTTTTTCTCTTTCTTTCTTTCTTTCTTTCTTTCTTTTTTCTTTTTCTTTCTCTTTCTTTCTTTCTTTCTTTCTTTCTTTTTTCTCCCCCTCCCCTTAAGCCCCTCTCCCACACGGGGCAAGGCCCACCACCCTGAATTCATCAGACGACGTTTGACCTTGAGAAGAGTTTTATTTGGCGGCAGCTAGCAGGGGACCCTGTCTCTCAACCAACAAAGTCCAGACAGACCCCTGTCGGTCAGGCCCAGGCCTCCCTCGCAGGGGCAGCGTTGCCAAGCGAAGCATTGCATTCAGCCAAAGGGGGGCATCCCGAGCAGGTGGGGGGTCGAGGCCCGAAACCCCGAGCTGGGTCAAGCCTTGGTGGGGAACAAGAGGAAGCCGCTGAAGACGCTGTCGGCCTCCGAGCCCTTGTAGACGCTGGCCCCGCCCGGGGGGTCGCTGTCCAGCCACACCTGGTCCCCTTGGGCCAGCTGCAGGACGCTGCCCCCCGAGTTGACCTGCAGCAGCCCCTGGCTCTGGTCGCAGAAGGTGGCCACCGCGCTGTCCCGCTGCATCAGGTCCAGGCAGAGGCTTCCCTTGGAGACTACCTGGAAGGTGAAGTAGTAGTAGCCAGGGACCCTGCAGGTGAACTTCCCTGTCTGGGTGCTGTAGGCGTTGTCCTGGTTGGTGATGCTGTGGTCGAAGACCACGGTTTTGGGGGACAGCCCGGGAGAGGGGTCCTTGCGGGAAGCCGAGAAGGCCGTCTTGGGCTGATCCTGGACGTTGCCCACTTGGCCCTTGAGGCCCCGATCCCCTACCGGCCCAGGGGGGCCCATGAGGCCATCCGGCCCTCGGAAACCTTGGTCGCCTGGTTGCCCCGAAGGGCCGGGCTCCCCCGGTTCGCCTTTCGGGCCCCGGATTCCGGTGCTCTGGGTCCCCATCCCTGGAAGGAAAGAAGAGAGGGAAAAATTGGGGGGGGGAAAGAAGGGTCCCCGGGAGGTCTTCTAGTCCAACCCCCTGCTCGAGCAGGGTTCAAGGGGCGACGGAATTGATTGGGAGGAAGCCAATAATTTAAATTATTTTGAGGTAAGATTATTATGGAGATTAGGTGTGGATTCCAGGATGGAGATGGGGTTTGGGACTCCAGCCCCCCCCCCGTTGAAAGAAAGGGGCCGTGCCCCCCCAATAGTAGCAAGGTCCCTTCCAACTCTGTTATTCTATTCTATTCTATTCTATTCTATTCTATTCTATTCTATTCTATTCTATTCTATTCTATTCTTTATTATTTCTATTCTATTCTATTCTATTCATTTATTATTTCTATTGTATTGTATTGTACTGTATTGTATTGTATTCTATGCTGTTGTTTATTATGTCTATTGTATTATATTGTATTGTACTGTACTGTATTCTATTCTATTATTATTTCTATTGTATTGTACTGTATTGTATTGTATTCTATTGTTTATTATGTCTATTGTATTGTATTTATTGTATTGTACTGTACTGTACTGTACTGTACTGTACTGTCCCCTATTCTATTCTATTCTATTCTATTCTATTCTATTCTATTCTATTCTATTCTATTCTATTCTTTATTATTTCTATTCTATTCTATTCGTTTATTGTATTGTATTGTATTGTACTGTATTCTATTCTATTCTATTGTTTATTATATCTATTGTATTGTATTGTATTGTATTGTATTGTATTGTACTGTACTGTACTGTATTCTATTCTATTCTATTCTATTCTATTCTATTCTATTCTATTCTATTCTATTCTATTCTATTCTAAACTTGAATACCTATAGCAAACTGGTCATTCTTAATTTATTTTTCTTTTTTAGTTTTTGCTTTTTGCTTTTTGCTTTTTTGCATTTTTGCTTCCCTGTTTTTGCTTTGCTTTCCTTTGCTTCATTCTTGGCTACCTGCTGGCAATTATTACTATTATTATTATTACTATTATTATTACTATTATTATTACTATTATTATTATTATTATTATTATTATTTACCTGGTGCACCCATGTCTCCTTTTTTGCCCGACCTTCCATTCCTCCCTGGGGCTCCTGGGTGCCCGTCTCTGCCCTGGGGTGCTTGGCAGACGTTCTGCTGGGCAGCCACCACATCCAGCATCACGATCAACACCGCGACGGCCAACCACGGGCGGCTTGCCATCTTGACTCTGTGGCCACGAGCAGAAAAGAGGGTGAGAGACCCTCGTTTTCCCCCCCCCCTCTCTTTTTCTCCTACTTGGGGAGGGGGAAGGAATTGCCCACCGCCCAGAAGTTTCTTCACGCTCTGCAAGCCACGGAACCATTCTCAAGGCTTCCATTTGCGAAGCCAGGCTGTTTATTTTCTCACAAACCACTTTGAGTTACAACTGTTGGGAAGAAGACTAGAAATGAAACTCCATTTTGTCCGGAATGGTCTAGTCGGGTCTCCTGCTTGAGCAGGGGGTCGGGCTGGATGACCTCAGAGGTCCCTTCCAAACTCTGTCGTTCTCTCCGTTATTCTGTCATTCTCTCATTCTATCTATTATTCCGTCATTCTGTCTGTCATTCTGTCATTCTGTCTGTCATTTCTGTCATTCTGTCCGAAAGGGTCTCCTTTCTGGGAGTTGAAGACCACCCATCCTAAAGTCATCAAGGCTGAGAGACCCTGTTCCTGGACCCGGCTGGGCAGAAAATCCAGGAGAACCTCAACAGCTTTCCTACAGATGGACCTCCACGGCAACCCTCTCTTCCAACCAACCATCTGGTGAACAAGAAGGAGTGTCCATCAGAACAGGCCAAAAGGGGCAAAGCTGGGGAATAAAGCCGACATTGAATTGAAGTCTCTTCTGGAAGGAGACTCCAAAATACCACTTACCTCCTTGGAAAAAAAAGACGATCCAGACCAGATTTCTGGGGAGAAATGTCTCCCTTTGTTGAACGCAGGAACGGACAACCGGATGGAGGAGAGTCCCAGATGGCTGAGCTTGGCTGAGTAAGAAAACTCAAAGTTTCTCTTCCTCCTTTCCCCTTTCAATTGCTTCCTCTTGCTCGCAGCCCCCACTGGCCACAGACGAATTGGGTCCATCGCCTTCTCCTTCCACGGAGAAGGGGAACTCATCAAATTTGCAGACGACACACAAGAGCGCGAAAAACAGGCTACTGACTTATGACCCGGCATGGTTGTTATTTCTGCAATGTTAGCAAAATAAGATGGAGAGGTTTCCACCTAATTCTGTACACATCGATAGTGTTGAGAATTGTAATTGTTTGATGAGAGGAAAAGGGGAAAACATAGGGGGGGGGAAAGGAAGATCAAGGAAAAAAAACACCCGATTGTGCAGTGCTGAGTAGATTCATACTGAAGAAGTTAACGTTAAATACGTGAACCCAGACCACAGGTTGTTTACTAAGCTTGAAAGACTGTAATTAAAAAAATAATAATAAAACACACACACACACATATATATTTCAAAATTTGGATTGCTAACAAAGAATTAAGGGAGAACTGGAATAGCCATTTCGAACTTTTTAGTTCTTTTCAACCAGACATACCCTTCTGAGATTCCAACCTGGGCTGTCTGCATGTTAGGCAGATGTATTAACCTCTAGGCCACAGGCTCTTTCTCACTTTGTCAAGATAATATATATATATAAATTTGCAGACGACACCAGGTTGGGGTGAATAGCCCGTATTTTGGGACATAGGTTCAAAAGCCAGAAGGACGTTGACAAACTTGAGCATTGGGCCCTATCTAACAGTTTGCAGTTCAGTGGTGAGAAAAATAAAGTTTTGCACTTAGGCAGGAAAAACCAAATGCACAGGTATGGAAGAGGTGGGACCTGGCTCAATAGCAGTAACTGTGAGAGGGATCTGGGATTAAATAGGAGCCAGCCGCGTGCTGCAGCTGCCAAAAAGGCCAACGCAATCCTAAATTGCATCAACAGAGGGATAGAATGAAGATCATGTGACGTGTTAATGCCACTTTATAATGCCTTGGTAAGACCAGACTTGGAATAATGGATCCAGTTTTGGTCACCACGATGTAAAAAAAGTCGTCGAGATTCTAGAAAGAGTGGAGAGAAGAGCAACAAAGATGATCAGGGGGCTGGAGGCTAAAACATGTAAAGAACGGTTGCAGGAATTGGGGATGGCTGGTTTAATGAAAAGAAGGATTAAGGGGAACATGCAAGCAGTCTCCCAATATTGGAGGGGCTGCCACAAAAAAGAGGGGGGTCCACCTGTTCTCCAAAGCACCTGAAGGCAGGACAAGAAGCAACGGACGGAAATTAAGCAAGGAGAGAAGCAACCTAGAACTAAGGAGGAATTTCCTGACAGTGAGGACAATTAACCAGTGGAACTGCTTGCCTCCAGAAGTTGTGGGTGCTCCATCATTGGAGGCTTTGAAGAAGAGATTGGACAATCATTTGTCTGAAATGGTCTAGGGTCTCCTACCTGAGCAGGGGGTTAGACTAGAAGACCTCCCAGGTCCCCTCCAGCCTTATGGTTCTATGTTCTTACAATAAAGTAGAACTAACTTATCTGCTCATGTTTCCTGTCCAGTGTATCAGATATGTCTGCCATGTTGTAAGTCTAGAGATGCAACTATCCTCCTCATCCTTTACAGCCTAATACACGAGGGGGGGGGTCTCTTCTGAGCCCACTCTTTAGCTGAGGGCTACACAGTCTCTTATCTTGTAAAACATTACATGAACAGAATCTCGCAAGTCTTATTTTGATCGCTTAATGACCTGGCCAAGTTATAAAAGTCCTGCACCTAGGAACTACTGGCAAGGCCAAACCACGATGGAAAACATCTTGCTGAGCGAAGCTGATTTTCATCCCCATTGTTATTATTTATTGACTGTCTTCTGACCAGCTTTGGTGAGGCAACAGTGAAAGGAACAAAAAGCCTTCTGCTTTTCGGCTGGGAAACAAGATCCTTCCTTTTTTTTTTTTTCCTGATCCAGCCAATTTTCATCACTCTGCAATTTTTTGATTTCGTGCAATGCAACCAGAGATAAATTTAAAGTACCCGACAGTTTCGGGGAATTTTTTTTTTAAAAAAGGAAGAGGACATTTTTTTTGGGTGGGGGGGAGGACTGCCCTGCATTTGCCCTTCCAGTTTTGTAGGGGGGGGGTGTCAAACCACTAGGCTGCATTGGCAAAATCAGCTTTGGTGGCGTTGTGTAAAGAGGAAACCGGCTGGCACTGATCATGTGCAGATTGCAAAGTCACCAACGCTGACCGTTCAAATCAGGGAGCAAATACTATTTTGCTCCCAATAAAAAATATCCAGTGATTTTTTTAAAAAAAAAATTAGGCCCTTTTCTATTTTAAATGTTGTTAAAAATATATTGGGAAGGGAAGGCAAGGGAAGATCTGGGGACCACCCATAAAAAGGAAAATGTCAGATCTAAGAAGACAAAATCAAACTTATTGCAAGAGGGAAAGTAAACTGCGGCATCTTAACCTTCTGTAAAATCGTAGAATGAAGGCTTGGGAGGATCCTGAAGATCATCTAGTCTGGTGTTCCTCGATTTTTTTTTCTGTTTTGGCATTTTTGCTTCATGCACTGGCATGATTTCTTCTGTCCAGCAGGGGGCACTGTTTCTCTAACCTACAAATGGTGATTTTATACACACACACACACACACACACACACACACACACACAGAAAATCTTTCTTTCCAAGAAAAGAAATTCAATTGATGCCTGCATGTCCCTTCTTCAGCACAGATCTGAATTCTATTCCTTACAGGATGGTCCTCGCACTCACAACCGTTCATTGAACGATGGGTTCAAAGATATAACAGGGGGTTGGACTAGAAGACCTCCAAGGTCCCTTCCAACTCCTCCATCATCATCATCATCATCATCATCATCATCATCATCATCATCATTATTATTACTACTACATTTGTTTGAAATGGGGTTCTCTCCTTGAGCAAGGGGTTAGGCTAGATGACCTCCAAGGTCCCTTCCAACTCTTATTTTGCTATTTTCTGCTATTCCGAGCGGAGATTCTCAAAAAAACCCCCAACATTCTTGACATGTTCAGTCTCTGGTAGATCTTCACTGATGCCAGTCAAGGCTGGCAAAATTGGGCTAAATCCTGAGCTGCCCCCCCCCGAGGGAGGCCAAGGGACCCTCATTCAAGACAAGGAAGGGTCAGATTGGGTTCATCCAGCCCAGCAATCATGATTAAAATTGCTACCCAGGGATTCACGGTGAACTTTTGAATCCAGCGCGGAGGGACGGCTTGGCGCCGGCCTCATTTCCATTCGCAGTGCTGTGCAGAATTCCCTCCGGGTTGATTTCACACACACACACACACACATCCCGCGCTCTCATTTACTGGCACATTTGCAATTTGCTAGTTTGGTAATTAATTCCACGGCTTGCTTGGATCTAATGCCGGAATGGGGAGGGTGGGTGGAGGTGGCTGAGAAGAAAGGAAGGTAGAAGGAAAGGGATAGAAGGATAAACTCACCTGCCCTGGCCTGGTCTCTCTTTTCTCTCTTCTCTTCTCTTTGCTTCTGCAATTTTTGCATTCTATTCTATTCTATTCTGTTCTATATTCTATTCTATTCTATTCTATTCTATTCTATTCTATTCTATTCTATTCTATTCTTCCTTCTTATTCTCTTCTCTTCTTCTCTTCTCTATATTCTATATTCTATTCCATTCCACTCCATTCCATTCCATTCCATTCCATTCCATTCTATTCTATTCTATTCTATTCTATTCTATTCTTTATTTCTATTCTATTCTATTCTATTCTATTCTATTCTATTCCAATGCCTTCTGGTGCTTTTGTGGCGGTCGTAAGTGTGAAAAACGATCCCAAGTCCCTTTTTACAGTGCCGCTCTAACTTTGAACGGTCACTAAATAAACTGTCATTAAGTCGAGGACGTCCTGTAGATTCATAGGATGTTAGCCAGAGAAAAAATAACTTCAGTTTGGGATCATTTACTCAGGTCTGAGTAGGGGGTGAGCGTCCTTCAGGCAGCCGAGGCCCCCATCCCAGGTGAAGGGCTGAGCTTGACCTCCTGAGATGGACCCGGAAGGCCAGCCCTGGACCCCCCTCGGGGTCCACGTGAGAGAGATATTTTGGGAGCATTTTTGGGACACACACCCCGTCCCTTCTCCCCGACACGCAGCTAATGGAGCCCCCCCACCCACCCCCGCTGTGGTTTTGTGCC